AAAATTCATCTCATTTATTCAAAATCCCAAGAAACCTTGCCACTGATGACTGAAATAGCAGTGTGAGGCGATCTTCAAAAACTCATATTCCCAATCTTGAAATTTGCAGCAGTGCCTCTGAAATAAATATTCTCTAAAAAAAGTATAATCATTATCGCCCAGATGCTCTCTCTAATTTGAAACACAAATTTTAGAAATGAAAAAATTGAATATTTCATGTCCTTGCATTGAATAACCCTCACAAATGAAAATACCGAACTACTTCCCTTTCATCAGTACTTTACTCGCCAGAATAATATTAATGTTATGCCTCTGATGGTAAAAGTGGTTACATAACAATCATACGAGTGCTTTGTTCCAAAATTTTTATATCTTATTCCTGAAGGAAAAAATCGATTGTATATACCCCCAATTCACCAGAAAATAATTGGAAAAATACCGATCGAAAAGCCAACGCTTGCTTATTTCAGAAACAACACATAGATACAGGAAAAAGCAGATAATTGATCCACCCTGTCAACCGATCGTTGAACACACATAATTTTGGTAAAAAGCATATCCCGGGAAAATATCACTTTTCTCTATGTACCCTTCAATTCATGATACTTGTCTCTGAATCACTTTCAAGATCGAGAAACATATCTTCCCTGAAAAAATACCGTGAAATGAAAGAAGTGCTTCTTCGTATAGGTAAACTGACAACGGATGATGAGGAGTTGGGGCGGATATTTGCACAAAGCGTGAAATTGAATAGACCAACGAGCAACAGGAGGCATAATTCAGCTGACTTTGAGAGGCTATCGAGCAAATTCGGCAGTTTAGCGTGAGACGAATATGTAGGAAGGAATCTGATAGGGGTTAAACCATCAGAGAAACAGGGGCGGATCCAAGGGGGGGGCCATGGGGCCATGCCCCCCCCCTCGGGAACCTCATGGATATGTAAAAATGTAGGTATTTTGAATAAATGAAAAAATTAGTGTATATTTCTTTATAGCTAGAAACTTCGCAACAGCTCTGAGGAATTGCAAATTGCTGTTTGGCAAATATGTTTTTGATAACACTGCCGCTCAGTGCTCAGTAATTTGTTCCAAACAAAAAACTTGGACAAAAAACAAGCTAACGATGTTAGTATCACTCTTTTGATGACGCTTCAAAATAAAAGGAATGATATTCTAAATACTATCTAAGTATTTCGAATGAAACCAAACAGAAATTGAAAGAACTGAATGTTGAATTTTCGATGCCGAGAATAACAGGGAGACTGGTTCATAGACCGAATCCTACGGTTTCCTCAGTGGATGACCATTACAGAATACCTATTTCATCCCAGTATTATTCTTGATCTGAATGATAGACTATCAGAAAATAAATTGAATCTATACAACCTTCACCTTTGTGTGCCATCAATAACTAAAAACAAAACAGATGAGGGAATATATGAGGTATGAGAGATATACTTGAACAGTTTCCGACCATTTTTGAGGAGAATGATGAAATATCCTTTCAGAAGATCGTTTCTGATATGGAAGAAAATGTGGGATACTAAGCAAAATATACCAAACAATGGTATAACTGCCCTGAAGGGATGTAACAAACATTTGTTTCCTAACATAAACATTCTTCGCTGGAACCATTATGTTGCCTGCCTGTAAGTGTTGCATCTTCTGAAAGAAGTTTTTAAACACTCAGAAGGCTGAAAGATTGGATAAGATCCAGAATGGTCCAAGACAGGTTGAATGGATTGGCATTGATGCATATTCACAGGGGCATCTGCAGCAGTCTGAATGTTGATGATATTTGTTTTCTTTATTTTATATATTTTTATTTTTGTCTGTTTCATATTGTTTTGTTTTTCGAAATAAATATTTTTATTCACTTTTGAACCCAAGTTCTTCAAGAGAAATATTTTTTTAGCACCTTTTTTATCCAATATGATTTATCACAGTATTCTACATATATTGATGGTATAAGAATAGTTTGAACTTGTTTTTTTACACCAGTAATTTCGATACTTGAAAGGAAACTTAAGATTTCATGTTTACTATAATCAATTTTTTTTATGAAAAAGCATTTATCTCAGAAGGTCACCATATAATTTCTCTTCCGCGCTAACCTCATTGAGCCGTGACTTTCTATGGCCCCCCCCCTCAAACATCTTCTGGATCCGCCCCTGCAGAGAAAGGCAATATTGGGAATAACTATTTTCAGCTGAATAATCGAAAATTGATTTGAGACAATAAGAATCTTTTGCAACGTGTTGAAAAAAGTTCCATTCAAACATTCGTATGAGATATATTACTGCCATGACATAGTAATTTTTCTGATATATATCGTATAGCAAGGATGGCGTAAGAGACTGAGACAACATAAATTATAAAGTTAATATATGTATTCTGCGCTGTCAGTTCAGTTTGCTGCGGAGGTATAGAAGTGTTTTTCATACAAATTCGTACTCACAATGCATTAAATCAGGAGGAAATGGAAACACAAACTCCAAATTTACGATTTTCTCGTTATTTGTACGTGATACGCTATGATATAGATTATAGTTGTTAAAAAAATCCAATACTTCGAATTTTCAAATATACCGCTTTCTATCTCTGTTCCTGTGTTTCTATAACTATATGTCGTCTGTCAATAAACAGTTATATCTCAGTTTATGGAACAAATGAAGAGTGAATATCTCATTATTGAGTATGTACATTTTCGTACATCATACAACAGTTGTTGTTCCGAGATGAACCTGTACTTTCCGAAAACATGTACTATATTCAGAAAATAAATTGATATTCACTGATATCATATAATCTGAACATCCAGGAAAAAATTCCTTGAGAAAAATATGTGAGTTAATCTATGACATAACAATGCGAATATTTTCTTTGTGGTACAAATGATTGATGAATTTCTGAACCATTACTTTGAGGTTTACCCTCAACAGATAATATTCATCATGTGAAAGGGAATATTTCCTTGACATACCACCCGACATTATTCCTGAGTCTGTCGTGTTCTTGAAACAGAAATATCTAGATATTCAACTGAATAATTCATCACAGGTGAGGTGGAGCATGGAAGGAGATGTGAAGTGGCTGTGAAGAAGTTGACAAATATTCCTGGGAGCATTAGATAAACTAAGATATAAACTTGGCGTATTCGTTGTTTTTTTCATTCCGCAATGCGATCCATTTCAATATTATGTCGTTGTACGAAAAATAATAGTTCTAGAAACTAGAAGTTGTAATTCAGAATAGTTAATTGTAATTCAGAAAGTATAGCTTGAAATTCAGATCAGTTAATTGTTATTCAGAAAGCGTAATATGTAATTCAGATTAGTGAAATGTTATTCAGAAAGTGTAACTTGTAATTCAGAATAGTGAAATGTAATTCAAAAACCGTTGATTGTAATTCAGAAAGCATAACTTGTAATTCAGAAAGCATGACTTGTAAATCAGAAAGTATCCCAGTATGATTCAGAAACTAAGACTATTTCATATGCATCCATTCCCCTTGAGAACGACTTAATCTTGGACAACATATTGATCAGGCAAAAGATACAATTGTTGGAGGTGATTCTGCTAGGGCTGTACAACACACCACCATTCACCATGCCGCAGCTCTGGCATTTCAAGATATGCCCGTTGGTCGATAAATATAAAATATTGATGTTCACCACAAAATATACCATTCGTTGATTTCTATTCCCTACGCTTATTTGAGTCCATAGAATTTATGGATTACAAGTGATGCTTTCTGAATTACAAATTACGCTTTATGAATTACAATTGACTATTCTGAGTTACAAGTTACACTTTCTGAATTACATTTCATCAATCTGAATTACAAGTTACACTTTCTGAATTACAATTATTGAAATAGGTGTAGTGGTTAATAATAAAATGACGAAAACTACCTTGGTAGTAAAAACACACTTAATGCCCCGAAAATGAGTAAATAATGGTAGGTTTCAACGCTAGTGGTGGAAAAAATGTTATTCAAGTAGGGCAGGGCGAAATTCATACAGTCTACTACAGGACCACGACTCTCTGATGCAAGAATTTCAAAAGGACATGATTCGAATCTTCAAAGCTGCATCTTCAGCATTAGGTAAAATAGCACTGTCATGGAGGAAAACAATTATGTTCACATACATACATCTGATTCCTTGGCAAGCCTCCGGCATGTTCAAATAAATTTCTCTTGATGATCATCATGTTTGATCTAAGAGTGCTCTAACAAGTATGTAAACATACATTTTTTCCTCTATGACAGTGCTCATATGTAACCTTATGCTGATGATGAAGCTTTGAAGTTTCAAAACATGTCCCTTTGAATTGTAAAGTATAGTTTTGGTGGAGTAGACTGTATGAATTTCGCCATGTTTCATTGCTTTCTTGAATTATTTCAGGATATAATCAGGTTAGAAATCTGAATGCTAAAAACTTCACATCACTTGGGGTTATTATTTGTGATATTCTGAATATGATTGGGCTTGCAGGAAACGCCCTGCATGTTTCGGTAGTTAAAAAAATCGTACTAATGTCTACTTATCTTCGTTGCTCAAGTTCATTATCAGTTTTGTCATCTTCTAAAGAGCGTAGAAAGTAAAACCACTTGAACAAAAATGAATACGAAAGACTATCAATTCAACACAAAATCAATAATCAAATTATTTTAAACATAATTGCTAACCCAACCGAATTGACATCAATCTGCTTAGCCAACTTGAATAGAATACTTGATTGTCATTTGTATTCACGTATTGGCGATGAGTTTTGTTGATGATTTCCTATAACGACTGTTCTTTCAATTGATATGAGTATTGGCAGTATTGCCATCCATGGGAAAATCCGCGAAGATAACCAAATTACGCAGTAGAAAACTTTTTACGCAGTGTCCTTATATAAGGACGGTAGGCATTCCTGGATTGAAACAATTCGAATAATGTTCCATTCGGCCCACGCTGATCACCTTCAATAACCGATTCCCCTCCGTTTCAGAGTCGATCCTAGAGCAACTCCGAACGATCTCGCTCGCCACCCGAATCGATCGAACTTCCTTTCGTCGAGAGCAAGTTGCGAGGGTCGAAGGGCGCCGTAATTGCGTCCCTTTGAGGGCGCTCCGTCACTGTGGAGTGGTGGTGGAGAGACGTTTCGGAGGCCATACAGGGCCCGCCCTTCGCCCACATGAAATCCGACGAGGAGATGCAGACGGGCCGGGACAGGCACCAGGCCGGTCCTGGAAATGGCAACGGCCACAACCACCATTCGAGTGAGTATTTTTTTTTATGTTCTGTTTCCCACGAAAAGGGATATCCTGTAATGTTCAGAGAAGATCGTGAGAACCAAGGGAAATAAGGTAGGAATTGGTGTTCTTCTTAAATTTCTGAAGGTTATATGCCTCAGGGAACACCTCCTTTGGTAATGTGTTCCTAAGCCTCGCTGGATGAACGAGTCTTTGGAAAGAGATGTTCTGCAGGTCTCCAAAGTGACCACGAAGGGGTGCGAAGCCTCAACTCGACGGGTTAATCTCGCGGGGACTGTCAAGGGAGGAACAATATTGTTGATATTTCAGAAGAGCATCGTCCATGAATATATCTATAAAATAGAGCCAGAACTTTTTCTCCGGTGTTCCAGAGTAGTGAGTGAGTTTGTTAGCGAGGCATCACCCACGATACGGATTGCCCTTTTTTGGACAGAATCCAACAGTTTCAGGGTATGTTTGGGTGCTGCACTCCAAATATGGGAACAGTATTCCAGGACAGGTCGAATCTGTGCCTTTTAGATCAAAAGCAGCTGACTGGAAGTGAAATAGCTCCTGGCCTGAAGCAGAAAACCAAGTTTTTTGCATGCACTTTTAGCAATTGATCTCACGTGATTTTCCCAAGAAATGTTATTGCTGATAGTAATACCAAGCATCGAAATGGATGTCTTCAAAGGTATGGTTACTCCTGACAAGCTTATGTTAGGCACAGTGAGATCGGTTTTTGAAGAGAAAATGCTTGTATTTTGTACGCTTTGAAATCTACCAAGTTATTGGATCCCCATTTGAGAATTATTGCCAAGTGCATATTTATGTTGTCAACATTTCTCCCTCTCTCGTTTCTGATTTGCCTGGCTGGTATTGGGGCCCTGATAGAGAAGGCGGTATGGAGGGTACTTTCATCCGCGAAGCTGTATACTGGACATGATGTTGCTTCCTACAAATCGTTGATATGGAGTTGAAATAGTGTTGGTGCTAGAATTGATCCTTGAGGAACACCAGCATTTATGATAAGAGAGTCAGATGAAACTCCGTCGACCACTACATGGAGAGACCTGTTTGAGCAGAAAACATAGCTGAGGAGGCAAGCCATAAGATGGAAGCTTGGCGAGGAGTCCGTGGTGCCAGGCTCGATCGAATGCCTTGGAGATATCAAGTGCCACGTCTAAGGCTTCACCATATTTTTCGATAGATCGCAGCCATATATGTGAGAAGTGAGCGAGCAGGTCACCAGCATATACGTATTAATAATCAATACGGATAATCTCTATCTGTTTCCATAGCGAAACATGAAGCCGATTTTTGAAGACAAATGACTATCCATAAGGAAAAGTTTTGAAACGATCAGACACATACTGCTTTGATTGAAAGGCTAGTAAACGTCATTGTCGACCGAAACGCATGTCTTTGATGACTACTATAATAGCGCATGGCGCATGCGTATCATGCCACCAAATCCTTATGAATATTCATTTGTTTCATATTTTTGGCTTCATCCTGGCACCCGTTATGATCCGTATTGTTTATTAATACGTATATGGTCACCAGTTGATCTCTGATGACGGAAGCCATATTGCCTATCTTTGATAATACCTTTATGTTCCAGGTATTTTATGAGCTCGATGTTGATAGCCTTCTCCGTGATCTTTGAAATTATAGCTAGCAGTGCGATCGGTCTGTAGTTGCTAGATAGGGTTTTTTGCCTTTTTTAGGAACTGGTTGTACACTTGCAATTTTACTGATAGTACGCTGTCAAGAGGTGATCTCGGGCATATGACTGTTAATTTGCGTTTTGTTTGGAGGTTGTTTTCCCGATGAATCCAGAGTGGAATTTCCAGCAAATGAATGCGCAAAAATGTTGGCTTTCTCCTGGGCAGTTGTGGCTAGTGTTCCATCTTCCTTGGTTAGAGGAGGAAACGAGCTGGAAGTGAAGTTTCTTCCTACAGCTTCGAACAGTGAACAGTGAGCAGTGTTGCTAACAGCCAATTTTGAAAACGGCTAGATGATAGTTGGGGAAAGGCTAGATTATGACTGAAAATGAAAGCACCATTCTGACATTAAAAGTCTAGAGCTCAGATCTAGAGCTAGACTCTACTGACTCTAGTAGTATTGACGTTGAAGTATGACGCGCAAGTTGAGAGAAGGCTACGATACGGTGTGATATTTTGCGGTTCATCTACCCTAGCAAAAGATATCTTATCTACCCTAGCAAGAGATATCTTCGTGGCACAAAAACAAATTTTGAGATCAATGACGGGGCTTTCACAGATCGCTTCATGCAAAGATTTATTCAAGAAACTGAAAATATTGACATTACCATGTCTAGTGATATCAGAGTTGAGTTTGCTAGTATTCGAAAATAGTTTCAATACAAGACAAAAGAATGATTTTTCAATTCCATTTGGAAAAATCAGAATAACTCACCTATCTCCCAGTCACATGGCTCCCAGAATATACAATGCTCTTCCTTTATATGTGACAAACTGCTTAACGAAACAATCATTCAAACATAATTTGAAATAATTTTTGACCGAACATAGTTTTCATAAGCTGGATGAATATTGGTCGTGGCAATTTGCGGTGAAATACATTTTTTTATTGTTGTATTGTAAATTAACGACTTTTTCCATATGGTTATCATTATTATTATTATTATCATTATTATTATTATTACGTGATGTGTTGACCTCATTGACGTCAACGTCAATGTTTCTTCGATTCATGCTCTTGACAATATTCTGGAATGAAAAACGCTCCCAATTTGTCAAAATAACACGAAGTATGTCAGATTTTTCATTCACATATTCATTTAAATAATCTGTATTCTAAATATGGAAGATAATTACAGAGAAGAAAACTAAAACTTGGAATCTGTAGAGAAATCTGTCTCCCACTGTTCGGAATGAAATCCACAGAATAATATTTGGAGTTTCTCTTCTCTCGATCTCTGTCTTTCCAACAATACATATAGTATTGAATGTATTGGAAATTATTCACATCGATCGTATCAGAGGCCATCCAATGAACTAGGACCTATCCGTAGTTCCAAACTTTTTGATTTACTTTAACATAATTTTCCCCCTGGTAATCTTAGGTGAATATCTAGGAAGACTACAAGGCTAGCTAATCTATTTCAACATTTTTGATTCGAACGCAGGATGATGACTTATTAATTAAATGATAGAAATTTCGCCTGCGGCGCATATTTCGCCATACCAAAGTGTGATCTGAATTCATTAACCCCCCTTGGTATACACTGAAATGGAGTTGTTATCACTATGAAGGAAATCTAATTTTAGATCTGAGAGCATTCGACATTGAACAAAAATAGTGTCTGAGTTTGTTGACCCCCCCCCTGATATTTACTGAAATGACGCCCCTAACATGCACATGAAATAAGTATTCCGAAGGCATAGATCCAGGTGTTTTTAAGAAGTGGTAATACATTCGAAATTGCCAAACTCCACTCAGTATTTACTGCATTCAGTCAATCAGACTCAGGTGTATCTCACACCTTCGCAATATTCCAATTGTGCTCGCCTGCCTCATTTACACCATTAACCGTATCGATCTAGATGATTCCGGTTCCTGCATAGCGTTCTATGAAACACTTTCGTAGACGAGATTTTCTGGATGTATTTCAGGCTATTCACCTCGGAAAAGCTGCACTATTCCTCCTTCAATACCCACTTACTCTTTTATGGAAGAAGTCTTGCATCAGCACGTCGAAATAGAATCAATAATCCAGCGAAAGAATCCAAGATCTAGCAGCAAAATCAATGAATATGCATTACTGGCTGAGATATTCTTAGTGAAATGACGGACGCCTTTTCAGAAATTCTAATTTCCATGAAAGCCTTGGTATTGAGACTTATCTTCAGTGGATACATTTATTGTGCTCGTAGCAATGTTGACTTTGAATTCATTGTGAACTTTTTCTCTCTACCTGTATTGATGAGGAAAGTCTTCAGTTTTTTCTACCCCTAGCTATGGAAACTATACCATTATGAATACTGCTTGGCTGCAGCCTCGGAACATAATCATGGCCCCTGGGTAACAATGATATTTTGTTCTAAGATTCTTCAATACCTTGGTGTATAATAGTACATTATACTTCCAGGGACAGAAATGCCAGATTTTTTCAAGGTGCTCGAGGGCGAAGCCCGAGAAATACAAAGCACCGATACTATTTTTTAGGCTGGCAAAAACTCAAAAATAAATATGGAGAGTATACAAATCTGATCAAAGTGTTTTGTCATAATTAGTTGTAGTATAGTTTGTGGAATTCGTATCTTGACAACATGCATCTTGTTGGCAGCAAAAATCAAACTAAAATTTATGAAAATAGCTTTGAAAATGGTTAACGGAGAGGTGTATAGAAATTTAACTGGTGGGCTCACTCTTCAATTGTTTCGTCAGACTAACTACCGATATGGAACAATTGCAAGCGAGTTTTGGACGTGGGGTTCAGGTATTTGCGATAAAGGCGCAATAATCGGAAAATCGTTCAAAACCTTGGTTCTGTGAGGGATGAATCTATTTCCATCATTGTTCTGTGGTCGAATAAATACTGTGCTCAACATTTTCATTCAAATTTCAATTTGAAATAGAAGCAAGAAATCTTTTTTGTAGCCGATTTTAATAAGCTTCACTTCTTTCATGACATGAACCTATTTAAAGCATGAAATCTGATGAATTTTCTCTTTGAAGAACCCGAACAAAGAATGTATCAAATATTGAAATAGACCAATATCGAAAATCATAATTGGCAGATATGGAAACTGGTACTCACCTTAGAATTTATTCACACCAGTTCACGATAATATCTCAAATCACTGGAATAATACTGTTGTAGAACAGAGGTTTTCTTTTTTCTATGGTGGATTAGGTATTATTCAGAGAATTTAGAAACTACGGAACACGTCATTTCTGAAATTTCCATAGATTATTAATTTACTATTAGTATATTATGATACATGATGAAAATTGCAATTACCTGTTTATACAAA